TATATATATATATATATATATATTATATATACATATATATATATAGTATATAATTTAATATATATTATATATATATATATAATATATATATATATATATATATATATATATATATATACATATGTATTTGTCCATATATATATATTATATATATAATATACAGTATATATATATATATATATATATATATATATATATATATATATATATATAATATATTATATATATATATATATATAATATATTATATATATATATATATATATATATATATTATATAATAATTTGTATTTGTCATATATATATATATATATATATATATTATATATATATTATATATATATATATTATATATATATATATACACGTGTACCTGTGACAGTCGTTGCTACCGCTAACAGCTTTTCACAAAGCTAGCATAACAACTCGTCCGCTTATTTACGCAGCCTAATAGTGTTTGGCCGATCGGAGTGCCAGGCGTCCCCGGGTCAAGGGAACCTCCGTGCGCCTCGACCTCATCAATCATTACGACTAATTACTCTTTAATAATATACACTGACCCACAGGCCTAATTTACATGTTGGGATTGGCTGGTCTATTTATGGAGGGTATCAGGAAAAGGTATAGTGTGTTCTTGGAGAGCTCGTTGCCTAATATAACGTGTATTGGCTGAGATTTTGCTTACGGGAGCAAGTATCATCTCCATCTGTGGTACAGGACGGCGAAGGTACCATAAGCGGTGTCCCACTTGTATGCTAACTGTCATAAGGCTCGAGAGCAGGCATCCGAGGAGGAGCGGACCTGAGGCAGGCCCTCCTCCGCCCTCCTGACGCGCTCCCACTCCCCGAGCTCCCACACATCCACCACGCTCACTCTCCTCCACCTCCGAGGTCCCGATCCGTCGCTCACCTCCAGGAACCCTTGCTGCAGCGGCTGGAACATCCGCGTCTCGTACATCGCCGCGGGCCCTCGCTCCCCCGGCGCCGCGTCGCTTCTGTAGGCGTCCACACTTCGGACCTGCCTGTAGTCGACGATCCGCTCGGGGTGGCCGTACTCCAGCGGTATGGGCTGAGGTCCTCGTGCTTCGGGGGCGGAGGTGTATTCTTGCTCTAATTGCTGTTGGCTCTGCCCTTGGCCCTGGCGTGCTCTTGAGTCTTGTTCTCTGCGAGACTGCGAGAACAGTTGGACATTGCGACTGCCATGCTGAGACTGGACCATGCGTCCCTGGTCGACGATCTGCCTTATTTTTCCATGTGGCGTCGGGTGCTCGCTATGGACGGCATTTCCTGTCTGGGTATTTCATAGGCAGTAGATTCTCCAAAATGTTTCTGGTCGTGTTCACGGATGTGAGGGTGTGTATTGTGTCCTCTGTCTATTCCGTGGCCTCGGGTCGGCCCCGTTTGTTTATTGTCGTGTTCATAGTCGAGGTGATTACCAATAGGCTCATGATTTCGATCATGGCCACCGGAATATTTTATGAGTCTACGATCATGACTGAGGGTCAGACCGGGACTCGCATGATTATCATTAATGACTGGTTCAACCTGTACCTGTTCCCGATCAATGGCTTGTCTGTTAGGCCCTTGGTTATGAGACTGCCTCCCGTGCACATCGTCACGGTAGGAGGACTGCCCTGTATGCTCAGTATCTCCTCGGGATTCTTCGTTCCGTATGCATTCGTGTTTCGTGATCTGGCGAGACGTTCCTTGGCTTTCCTCACGGTAGTTTCCGCTCTGTCGTGCATTTTCTGTGGATGTTTGACTCTGAGAATGCCTGACGCTTTCCCCCCTGACCGAGTAAGTCGTGGTTTCCTTCGAGGGACCAGGCTGGGCGTCCGAAGGGGGATAGTCTTCTGTCCTTTCCCTTTGGTAGGATGTGCTACGATGCTGTCTTTGTTTGGAGGCAACGTTTTCGTCTTTGAGGTTGGTGGCTTCTTTTCGCTCATCTGAATGGAAATGAGTTTGTTGATTGTAGTTTTGGTCTGGTTTTGTATTCCCAGAAAATACTTCACCAGTGCTCTGGACGTATTTGTGCTTCGTCGTGTGTTCTCCGCTGTCACTGGAAGAAGCAACAACTCTTGCCTTCTCTTGATCTACCGGATTGTCCCTCTGTTGGCTTGCGTTGCTGACCCGTCTTATTTGTTGGCTGATCTTTGGCAGTTCGTTCATCTCGACCTTCCGGGAATTCCGAGCCCCTCTGCCTGCCTGAAGGAATTCCTCCGCCACGTCCCGGAATCGCTTTCCTCGCTGGCAGAAGGAATATGGCGGCCGCTTATCCGAGGACACGCTGTCTCTCCTTGTGCTGAGCTCTTCCTGCCACTGACTGACTGACGTTCCTGCGCTTGCCTTTTGCGTCGTCGGCGTTTGCTCTCGTCTTTCGCGGATCTGCTGACGGACGGTTTTCCTCCCGCTGCCATTGGGTTCTGGAGAAGAGTTCCGGTCCGGTTCACCTTCTTGCTGCTTCGTGATGCTTCCTTTGGGCAAGCGGAATTTTGCCGTGTCATCTTTGCCCTTGGTCAGCGCTCGATTCGCCATGGCTCTCTTCCGCCAGTAGGCTTGGTAACTGATGGTCTTCAGCTTGGGAAACGCTAGCCCTTTCTGTTCGTCTTTTCCGCTTTCTTGGTTCTGCGAGCTTTCTCGTCCCCGCCTTGAGGACGGCGCTTCGTCCTCCTCTGGTGTTGGCTGCTGGGCAGAGGGTCGTCGCCGAGGCGTTCTCTCTCCCACCTCTCTTGCTCTGTCTTGCTGAAGTCCTGCGTTCCGGGAGGATTCCGAGCCGGTCTTCCTCCTCGACGTCCCTTGGTCTTGAATGAGCCGCGAGGAGTCCAGACTTCCTCGAGGACGCTCCTCCCTCTCGCCCCGCCTCGACTCGCCTCGAGGCAGCTGCGGCGTCGACGAATGCATTTTCTGCTTGCGGAGGTTACGCCTCTGTGCTACTATCCTCTCCCGCCTGCTCTGCGACGACCTGCTCCTGGTGATGGCTTCCCCCTTCTCGAGCCTGCTGCTTCGCTCCTGCTGGTCGTGTCTGCCCCCATCTCCCTCCGGAAGGGAGTAGCCCTGCGTACGTAAGGATTATATTAACAGCAACATTCACAACAAACTCGATCTTGTGGGAATATAGAAACAGTAAGTCAGGCTTTCAAACTAATCTGGAAAACTATCTACAACAGAGTGCACGTGCGGCCACACAAGACTCTTCTACGCAGGCGGGGTGAGGTAGGCATCGTGGAACACAGACAACAAGCACACTGCCTGCTGGACCGTGGCGGCACAGCGGTTCTTAGCGCGTGTGAGCGAGCGTGCTGCTGCAGTCCTACGGGCAGTGTGCGCTTCTTGGACACAAATACCACTCTTTGTTACCTGTTTGTAAGCTGTGGCGATGTGGGACCCTTTTGTACAGACAGGTGTTGGGTTTACCTTTGTTGAAGCCCCTACTCTAACTGTACTATTTAATTGTCAATAAATAAACGAAAAAAATATATATATATACACATATACATACACACACATGTATATATATATATATATATATATATATATATATATATATATATATATATATATTATATAATATATATATTATATATATATATATATATACATATATATATATTATGTATGTATGTATACATATATATATATATATTATATAATAATATATATATATATATATATATATATGTATGTATGTATGTATAATATATATATATATATATATATATATAATTATATATATATAATATATATATATTATATAATATATATATATTATATATATTATATATATATATATATATATATATAATATATAATATATATATATATGTATATATATGTGTATATATATATAAATATAATATATATATATATATAATATATATATATATATGTATATATATATGTATATATTATATATATATATAAATATATATATATATATATATTATATATTTATATATATATATATATATATATATATATACATATATGCATAAANTCTACTGTTAGACCGGCGTGTCTTCACACTATGTCTACCTTGATTTGAAAACAGCAGGTTTCGTACTGCCTTCTGCTGCGTCAGTTGGCTCATTTAGTGTAAGAGATATATCACAGGTGCCTGCGATGTGTCTATACAACAGTGTGACTGTCTGCAGTATAATGTCTGTGGCGTTGGCGTCGACTCGCCGCCTGACCTCCTCACCTGCCTCGCTGGACGACGGGGCGAGCGGCCGTCTGAGGGCCTCGGCGCCCCGGAGAGCGCCGCCTACTGTCACGCGAGAAACGCCATGCTACTCACCCTCTCCCGCGTGTACAGCGCCCTCGGCCTCGAGCTCGCGATAGAGGTCATGGAGGAGGCGCGAGACATGCCAATCCCGGAGGACTCTGCCGTGCGGAAGGAGCGCAGGCTGATGTCCCTGCTGAAGGGCAGCGGCTGCGCGATCGTCTGCGTCGCGCGGGAGGTCGCCGAGGACGCGGCCTTGCGCGGCATGGTGTCCGTCCACGCCTGCTGCCTCAGGCTGACTCGGGACCGCGTCCTCTCCGACGCCTCCCTCCGCTCCTGCTCCTCCCGCTGCCTCTCCCGGTCCCTCCGCAGGAACGACTGGTGGATCCTGCGCGCCGCCGTCGTGGTCAGCTTGGGCACCCTCAGCCTGGCGCGACTCCTCGGCCGCGGCTTCGCCTTCCTCACCAGGATATTGGCCAAGAGCCTCGGGTGGTACTTGACGCGGTGCTGGCTCTCCTCCTCCTTCAGGTCGTTCTCGAACTCCTCGAGGATGGACGGCGGGGCGTGGCCGTTAGTCACCGCCCGCCGCGCCTTCTCCAGCACGGCCTTCTCGCGGCGCTTGAGCTCGATCCATCGCGTGAGGAGAACGTTGCCGATGCGGCGCGGGATGCCCTTGCGGGGGCGCTCCTGTTCGTCGAAGCAGGACAGGGCTCGGGACTCCACCTTCAGCATAGGACTCGGCGTCGCCTTGTTCTGCTTGTTACCCATCACGCCTCCGGTCGGGCCGCTGGGTCGTCCGCATCTGCCCTGCCTGGGTCACATCGTCCTGCTGCGTTCCGTTTAGATAATTTCCCACCGAAAAAAATGTATATATATATATTAAAAGTATCCGGCTGCCTGTTCTTTCAGATAATTTTCCACAGAAAAAAATATGTTAAAACTGTCCTGCTGTTTGTTCCAATTTCAGATCACTTCTCTTAAAAACGTAATGACTATGACTGTTTTATCCAAGTCAGAAACCAGAAATTTAGTATATCAATACGACTACAATACCTCTCACATTTTCTTTTTTTCGTCCTGAAATAATTTCTGAATTCCGAAAATGTATCTTATTCTTTTTCTGATTCGAAGTTACATTGTACAAATCCTTGTCCCATTCTCACAAAAAAACAAAAAAACTATTACACGTTAGGTACCAAGTCTTCACGCGCCGATATCTTGATCCTGAAAAGGAGGAAAATAAGATTTATATTCATTAAGAGACTTACACTTTTGGGGAAAGATTGGCAGGTGATAACTGGGTATGTCATAAATAGATTAGAAATTCTTTTCCATCATATTTCTCTTGAAGCATGGAGTCAACATCACATTTAACTATTGTAAAAAGACATAAAGACATATGAGAGTCAGCATTCAGTAACATATCAACACAATATAACTTAAAAAAAGAAGGTAAGAATAGTCTAATGATAATAAATTTAATAACAATACAATACATATCAATAACCGATCTAATAGGAATTCAATAAAAGTCAATAACTGTCAATAATAACAACAAAATTCCAAGAGAGTAATCCACATTCCATGTCTTGGCCTCGTGACAAAAACCCACGAAACTAATTCTTACTTCGACCTTGGAGGATAAATCTACAGGTCATAAACACCCGCTGCAGATCACGTGATTGTGTCAAGGTCCTTGTGATCAACTGCAAAATAACTTGCGGTGGGTCTCTCTCT